AGTGATAGCTCAAGAACATGAAGTCAGATCCAGCCACATGGAGTTAGGGACTACATAAGTCCAGTGAAATTAGAATCCCATTTTGAAATGTGTAAAAAATTATTTGTATGTATGCACCCTCAAAACATTTAAAAATTGTTCTGAAACTTGCTTTTTTTTTTTTTTTTTTTTTTTTTTTTTTTTTGGTATCAGGGATCGAACTTGGGACCTTGGCGCTTTCAAGGCAGCTGGTGACACCACTGAGCTAAATCCCCAGCCCTGAAACTTGCTTTTTGATATTTACATGTGATAGGCCACTTTTCACTATTTATAAATCTGTTTGCATACTTTTTAAACAATTTGATGGACATATAAGTCACTTCAAGATTTAGTTATTATGAGTTTTTCTGCTTTAAACGTGCATATATGCAGATATCACTGTAATATGATGTCTTCAACTGTTTCACCAAGATACCTTAAAGGAGGATAGCTGGGTCAAGTGGAGTTTCTGTGTGTAGTTTTTGAGGAATCTCCATACTGATTGCCATAGTGCTTACACAGTTCTTCACCCTGCACCCCCTGTCACGAGCATTTGCTTTTTTGGCTTCCTTTTAATCTTAGGACAAAAAACTACAAGATTTGATAAGAAATCGTGAGAATAATATAAGTAATACTGTGTATCATTATCTTCAAAGTACTCATAGTACAAGACAAACTGAAAAGATTCTTACAGAAAAGAAACATAAAAGCACAATATTTTCTTTTCATTGAACTGAAATAAACTAGTAGTATAAATGAAATGCATACATTAAAATATTTGGAAGCACAGAATATGTGATGTGGGGAAGTGTTGAACTTCTCCCTGCTTTCTAGTTCTCTCTTGTCTAAGTTTTTTGAGTTCTTGATCATAGCCACTCTTTGTGGAGTAAGATGGAATCCTAGTGTTTTAATTTGCATTTCTCTTTGTCCAAAGATGTTGAACATTTTATTCATTCACTTATTGGTCATTTCTTCTTCTGATAAAGGTCTCCATTTCATTTGCCTATTCTTTAATTGGGTCTTTATTTTCGGGGTCTAAGTGTTTTGATTTCTTTATATATTCTAAATATTAGACCTATATCTGAGGAGTTGCTGACATAAGTTATTATTATTATTATTGATTGATTGATTGATTGATTGATTTTTTGTACTGGGGATTGAACTTGGGTCCTTGCGCTTGCAAGGCAGGCCACTGAACCCCTGAGCTAAATCCCCGGCCCTGACATAAATTATTTTTCCATTCTTTTTTTTTTTGTTTTGTTTTGTTTTTTTGAGACAGGTTCTTACTTTGTAGTATACGCTGGCTTGAACTCACTGTGTAGCCCAGGCTGCTGTCTAACTTGGGATGATCCTCCTGCTTCCGCCTCTTTGGTGCTGGGATTACAGGTGTTTACCACCATTTCTGGCTATTTTCTCATTCTATAGGTTATTTTTTCACTCTATTAGTTGTTTCCTTTGCTGTGTAGACGTTTGAAAATTTCATATAATCTCATTTGTTTATTTTTTAAAATGTTATTTCTTTTGCAGCTGGGGTTCTGTTCAGAAAGTCCTGCCCTTTGCTTGTTATCTTCAAGAGTTTTATCTATTTTATCTTTTAGTGTTTCTGTTTTTTAACATCTAGGTCTTTAATCCTTTTTTTTTTTTGGTACCAGGGATTGAACTCGGGTCTTTGCGATTGCAAGGCAGGCCACTGAACCGCTGAGCTAAATCCCCGGCCCTAATCCATTTTGATTTTATTTTAGCCTGACATGCATTGTCCTTTTTCTGAGACAGGGTCTCAGGATTCCAAAATAGCTCAGGCTGGCATTGAACTCACTATGGAGCCTGGGCTGGCATTGAACTTGTGTTGATCCTTCTGCCTCAGCCTCCTGAGTGCTGGGATTATAGGTGTGCTCTACTACACTTGGCTTTCCTAATGTATTATCTTTTAACTAGAGAACTTCTTTAAACATTTTTCAGAGAATGATGTCTGGAAGTATTTCTTTTGTCCTCATACATTACTTTGAAATTTATAAATGTTTCCCTTATAACTTTGTATACTGTTTTGTTCAGGTTTGTAGGATTCAGGTGAGGATTTTGATCCCGGCGGGGTGCAGTGGTGTGCATGTGTGGTCCCAGCTACCAAGGAGACTGCAATGAGACAATTGTCTGAGCCTAGGAATTCGAGCCCAGCCTTGGAAAATACTGTCTCAAAACACAGTGATGCCAAATTAAGAATGATGTCAGTCTGATAGTCTTCTGTTTTAAAAAAATCGACTTTGTTTTATAAAATCTGAGCATTTATAGGATTTTTTTTTTTTTTATGTTTGGCTTTGAGAAATGTCAGTAACAATTTCAGAAATCTTAGCTAGTACTTGGTAAATTTTTCAGTGTGAACACAAGTCCAATGAAAATATTTTCATATATAGACTCATCTTTTCTTTTTTTTTTTTCTGGTACCAGGGATCAAACTCAGGATCTTGTGCTTATGAAGCAGGCATTGTGCCACTGAGTTAAATCCCTGGCCCTCACAGCCTCATCTTTAAAGAAAAAAAACCATAATTTTTCTGGTATAGTTGCAAGGATATTATTATAAGCTTATAAAAATAACTGGTTACTTTATTAAAATGCTCTTATTCTTCAATATAATATAAAAGGTTGGCATATTAGATTTTAGGTTATATAGATGAGGATATTGAGATTTTTCAGTGTTAATTGGCCCAAGATTCGGTTAAAGGAGATTAAATAAAAATTAATCCAGGGCAGGGGATTTAGCTCAGTGGTTCTTCTGCCTGCCTCACAAGCGCAAGGACCCAAGATCACTCCCCGGTACCACAAACAAACAAACAAATTAATCCAAAGCTTTTGTAAATAAGGGAAAAGGGGTTGAAAGGAGGGTAGGGAAATGGGAAAAAATAATAATCAAGATATATCGTCGCTAGGTACAAATTTCCTATGAATGAGTGTGATCATTATGTATACGTGCAATGTACCAGTAAACTTAATTTAGTTAAAAAAAATTAGTCCACCCACTTGAAATTTTGAGATCAAAGTTAAAGAGTAAAACACTGGAGTTAATTTATCAGCCTCAGCGATTTTCTGAGCCCCTTGGAATTAAATATAAATGTGATTTTTTTGCTTTTCTTTGACATTCTACTGCTTTCACTGAGGGTTGGGAACTCATATTTAAGAATCACAGGTCTGTTTCTGTCCTCTCTAAAACTGTGGTCCTATGACAAATATATCTTAGGCAAGGAAAACTTATATATGTGTGTGTGTGTGTGTGTGTGTGTATATATATAT